ACAGTGACTACAACTGTGGGCTCAAATGTGTCAGAAATGATGAGGGTGGTACAGGATAGTGCAGGCGTCAGGTCTGTTGCTCATAGGGTCTCTGAGTTGTACTTGACTCAACGGCACCTAGCAACATCAACATTATGAAAGGACTAGGGGATTCTAGAAGCATAGCACACAGGGAGTTGTGTTGCTAGCCCAAAGGTGATGCTTCTCTGGTGGTTTGAATCCACCAGTGACTCCAAGGAAGAAAGATGGGCAGTCAAACCCAGTGTAATTTAGAGTCTCCCAAAAACCTGCACAAGGGTCAGCTATGAGTTGCTTCTGACTCAATGGCAAAGAGATGAGTGAGTTTGGCTTCTTTTTTGAAATCAGGTTTTTAAAGGCCAAGGTAGGCACTGTCCATAAGGGACAAGATACAGAAGAGCACTGGGGGCTAGCAGTAGGACTAGACCTACTGTTCCTTTTGTCCTGTGCTCTGAGGTGAGAAATTTTGAGATAACATCATTTTGAAATGGGTAAATTTAGTAATCTGCATATAAACATTTATAAAAATAATATATTAATTTCCTAAATGGAGAGAAAATTATTACATGGGCTGTATTTCTTTATAAATACTCATCTTACTGGGAAATCTTAGCTAGCCAAAAGGACAATTAAGAAGAGCAAGATGAAATCACTGACAACTTCCATCCTTTCTCCCCCTATCTTAATGTTGACTGATAGACCTGTGGTGAGAACCTTTGCTTTCTTGATGTTGAGATACAATTTAAATTCAGTCATTGATCTTTCACAACAAGCATTTCACTTTTAACAAGCAAGGTTGTGTTATAATGCAGGTTGTTGATTAGTCTTCCTCCAATCCTGATGCCACATTCCTCTTCATATAATACAGCTTCATTAATTATTTGCTCAGCATATAAATTTAAAAGGCATAGAGAAAGGATAAAACCCTGGAACACATCCTCCTGATTTTAAACTATACAATGTTCCCATGCTCCATTTGGACAGCTCTGTTCTTCTGCTTCTTGATCTCGGCATAGATTTGTTAGGAGAAAAATTAAGTGTTCTGGCATTCCCGTTCTTCTCAATGTTAGCCACAATTTGTTATGATCCACACATTCAAATGCCTTTTCAAAGTCAATAAAAAACAAATATACATTCTTCTGGTATTAACTGCTTTCAGCCAGGATCCATCTGACATCAACAATGATATCCCTGGAGCTACAGCCTCTTCTAAACCCAGCTTGAATATCTAGCAGTTCTCTATGTCCTGTTGTAGCCATATTTCTACGCTCTTCAGCAATATTTCACTTTCATGTGATATTAATGACAATGTTAAATAATTTCCACATCCTGTTTGATTTCCTTTCTTGGGAATGGGAACAAATATGGATCTCTTCCAATTCGTCAGACAGACAGCTGTCTTCCATTTTTCCTGGCATTACTATTACATCTTGGATTGAGTTTTGTGTTTTTCAAAACACTTTGACATGAATTTTAGTTATTGATGCCTGCCAAAGAGAAGATTCAAAGCTATTTTGGCACACTCTGATGATAGATGGAGAAACGATTGAAGTGATCAATAATTTCATTTTACTTGAATCCACAATCATCACCTATGGTTGCAGCAGTCAAGAAATCAAAAGATTGGGGAAATCTGCTGTCAAGGACATCTCCAAAATGCTGAGGAGCAATAATGTCAGTTTAAAGTGTACCTGGTCCGAGCCATGGTCCTTTCAATTACTTGCATGCATCTGAAAGTTGGACAATGGATAAAGATGACAGAATTGATGTCTTTGTTTTGTGGTATTGGTGAAGAGTATCGACTATCCCAGGACTGCCAAAAGAGCAAAGAAATCCACACTTTCTCAAAGAAAATGTAACCCTGGTGCTCCTTATTAGTGAAACTTTGTCTAACTTACTTTAGGTATCTTTTCAGGAGCAACAAGTCCTTAGGAGAGAGACATCATGCTGGGCAAAGAGGGTCAGAGAAAGAGAAGAAATAGATTGATAAAGGGACTATCATAATGGGCTTGAGCATGACAGAGATCAGGAGGATGGTGCCGGATAAGGCAAGGTTCAGATCTGTTTGTTGTTCAGAGTTGCTTTGAGTAGCAGCCAACTTAATGACACCGAACAACATTGTTGTTGTTGTTGTTGTTATGTGCCACCAAGTCACTTGCAATTCATAGCGGCCATACGTACAACAGCCCTAAACCCTTCTCTGTCCTGTGCCAATATTGCTGTCTCAGACACACCCAGCCCGATTACCCCAGTCACTGAATCAATCCACTTCATAGGGCATCTTCCCCTCCTTGGCCGTCCCTCTAACCTTTCAAACATGATGCCTATCTCTAAGTACAGGTATCTCCTGGCAACATGCCCAAAGTATGGGAGATGGAGCTTCAAAATTCTTGCCTCTAAACAGTAGCTTGGTTTCACTCTCTCTAGGACAGATCTGTTTGCTCTCTTGGTGATCCATAGTTATGTTCAATACTCCTGTCCAGAATTACAAGTTAAAGACATTGATTCTTCTTCTATTATCCTTAGTCATTATCCTGCTCTCTAATGTATAGCAAGTAATTGTGAAGACTATGGTTTGGATCAGGTGCACCTTATTCTCTAGAATGACATTGTTGGTCTTTAGTACACTGGAGGGGTCCCTGACAGCAGACTTTCCCAATGTAATTGGTTTTTTATTTCCTGAATGCTGGTGGCAAGAGTGTTGATTGGGGAAGCAAACAAGCTGAAACTGTTAACAACCTCAATATCTTTTCCATCTATCATGGTGCTGCCAATTGGCCCAGTGGTGAGACTCTGACTTCTTGATGTTGAGCTTCAGTTCATATTGAAGACTGCAAGCCTTGGCTTTCTGCATCAGATGACTCAAGCATGCCTCTGTTTCAGTGAGCAAGGTTGTGTCATCTGCATAACATAGGTTGTTGATAAGTCTTCCTTCAATCCTGCTGCCACATTCCTCTTCATAAAGCCCAGACTTCTGAATGATGTGTTCGGCACATAGATTGCAAAGTTATGGAGATAGGATGCACCCCTGACATACATCTTTCCTGATTTTCAACCATGCAGTGTTTCCTTGATCTGTTTTGAGAACTTCTTGCTGGTCCAAGGATAGGTTTCACATAAGCATTAAGTGTTCTGGGATTCCCATTCAGAGAGTGGAAAGGAAATGGGTGGACAGAAGTGACTGGAGGCCTGAGCCATCATACCAGGGTTGCCTGGGAGCAAAAGGGAGGGAGGTGTTAGAGGGGTGAGCAGAGGGAACCGAGAGGGATGCTAACAAGGTAGGGTGTGGGTGGGAACACAATGTATTGGCTGAAGTAGGTGCCGAGACCAACACTAGTTCTGTTACCTGTGTAATGGGAAAAGGTCTTTCTTCTGCTCTTTTGGGTAAAATGCTTGTCTGTCAGATATCGTTCTAAAGCTAAACATCCAAATTGAGATAAGACTTGAGAGAAGGATTAGCTATCAACTTCCAAAACAATAGGGCTTCAAAAACCCTATGTACAATACAACACACTTAGATTAGACTAGCAGATATAGCACCAGAGGCTAAGTCTTGTATGGGAAATCATAAAAGATGAGGAGCAGTTGCAAATAAACACTAGTTATTGGAATGTGGAATGTGAGAAATACAAATGTAGGATTATTGGACATTGTAAGGAAGAAGTAAAATGCATAAATATTGACATACTAGTTGTTTGTGAAATGAAATGGATTGGCATGAGACATTTGATTTAGACAATCATCTGATCTACTAAGCTTGAACCAAAAATATGAGGAAAAATGGGGTTGCATTCAGAGTTAAAGAGACCATTTTAAGATTCATCTTGAAATACATGTGCATACATATTAAGAGGAGAAAAGTGTCTGAACAATAGAGCAGCTAGATTCTGTGGCTGGGAAGAGACTTAATCCCACATACAAGCTTTGAAACTCTCTGATTGATTTGCACATGGTAGGTAATTAATACTTATTGATATGATGGGTATTATTTAACTTATGTCCCATTTGTTGGTATGTTCTATTGAGTTTGAACCAGCTCATAGCTGACCCTCTAGTAGGTTTCCAGATGTTATAAACGGCATGGGAAGAAATTGCCCATCTTTGTTCTACAGAACAGCTGGAAGAGTCAAACAACTTGCCTTTGGGTTGACAACACAACTCTTTCCTGAGTACATCACCAGAGCTTCTAACATTTAGAAGAGCATATTTTAGCACAAACAAAAGTCTGTCCCATTGATTCCCACTTGTGCTGATCCTCCATAGCATTTCTGAGAGTATAATCTCCACAAGTACAGACCACTTCATATTTTCCCCTACAGCTAACTGTGAGTTCAAACTGCCTTCCATGCACAGCTTAACAGCACAATACCTATTATACTAGAACTTGAGCCTGACATAAAAGATTCAATATTACTCTCATGTGTACTTTTCCTCAGTAGAAAAACATTTTTCAAAGTGATGCTTTAGGCTATCTGTACCTCAGAATCATCACGGAGGATGTTTTTAAGAAACAGAGTCTTGAGCACGCTCGCCACCAGTGGATCAACAAAGAGTAGGGACAGGATAAAATGTATCTGATCCAATCATCCAGAGTGACTTGAATGGCCAAGAAAGTCAGGTCTAGTACTTAAACTTTAAACAGTCTTAACAAAATCAAAGCAAATTGACCATTTTAAATGTTACCACTTGTCCTAAAGTGATGTGTAAATTTTGTTAGAAGCTGTTGTTGTTTGTTATGTGCTGTTGTATCTGAACCAACCATTGCTGACCCTCCATTAGATTTTCAGAGGCTGTCAATTGTACAAGAAGAAATCGCCCACCTTTGTCCTGCAGAGCAGCTGACGTGTACCTTTGAGTTGGCAGTACAACTCTTTATTACTAGGCCATCAGAACCCCCTTGGTAGAAACTGGGGTATAAAATACTTAGAAAGTAGGACAGCAAAAGAAAAGCTTCAGGAAAGGAGGTATACAAGAGCACTCACCTATTTGGGGTGTTGTGTGAAAAAAGGGAGAACTCCACGGTTGCCAGTACTTGTTACCTGTTATTTGACATCTCACTTGAAACATGTACTTAGAGTTTGCTTCCAGGCAGAATTCTGATTGTTGCACATATGTAAAATTGGTGTTAAATTCTTTAACCTAAAATAGATGAATAACAAAAATAAGTCAATTCAATATGCTTCTAAAAGTAACAGTATTCTGCTTAGCAGAAACTGTGGAGCAGCTACAAAGTTCTGGGCATTTTCTAGATGTAGGAAAACAAAGAAAAATAGATATATTCAATGAAACACGACTTTAAAAAACCAAATTTGCATTAAAATGATGAAAAGTGACATACACATTGTTTGGATTTGGTAACTGCTAATTTTTGGAACTCTGGTGGTCTGTTCTGTAGGGAATTGTGCTGTTAACCTCCAGGCCACTTCTCTCTACAGGAGAAAAATGGTTCATCTCCTCTCATCCTCTTTACAGCCTCAGAAACCTAATTAGATGTCAGATATGTGTGGATTCTGACTCAACTATAACAACCTTTTTGAGAGCTTGAGTTTTTAAATCTCAAGACAGTTGCAAATCCATCCAACGCTAATTGCCATTTCTGGGGTTGGGTTGCTTGGGAATACAAGGCAAAGTGAATGACAAACTCTGTCTAAGAAAGTCCAAAATGTAATCAAATTAATTTTGAAATAAAAATTATTTTAATAGAGACAAGGAACTCAATATCAAGTGTATAAATCAATTCTTAACATATTTCACTTATTAATAATGACTTAGGAAAAGTACTTGTTAGCTAAACTGCAAATTGGTTTTTGAGAGAAAAAAGTAAACATGACATTTAAGGATGTTGAACTGTGACAATTCAACAGAAAAGAAGAAAATAGATGAGGAAATGCATTTTCTATGATGACCCTCCAAAGAACTTGCTACTGAGCATAATGAAAAACAATCCCAAACAGGCTGTTCTAGTGAGAGAAACGAAGACCTTTGCACAGCCCTTTCCGTATGTTGTAGCAAATGATTTACAGTGGAGACAGAGGAATGATTGAAAGACAAACATGAAATGTGCCTCACAATATATTTATGCTGCAGCTGGGAAAAATCAGTCACCAGACATCAAAGAGAAAGATAAAACTACCAAGATTAAGCAAACGAGCACACCAAAAAAAAAGATAGCAAACTCATTTGGGAATACTGTTAAAAGTCAATCTTAGCATAAATCTTTCAAATGTGCAATGCACTTAAAATGTAAAATTTGTGCAAATATTTTTGTAAGTTTTGAGAATGTCAGTTTCTGTGGAAGACAACATTCACATTCTCTTTAAGTCAAGACTCTACCTAGTATGTTCAGAATTGTCTGCTGCTTAAATCTGACTAGTCTACATTTGGAATCTCCTGCAACCCAGGAGAGTTTTACTAATTATATTGTAGGTTTGACTTTCAAATGTACCCTACTTCACATTAGCTTTTCTTGTAAGGGAGTTGTTAATCTCCAATGTAACTCTGCCCTTAATACCTTCAAGGACAGCCAGAATTTCAAAAGAAATATAATTTTATATCTCTTTAGTTAAAGAATTTGACTGGTAACCAAGAAATGGGTGGTTTCATCTCCCCAAGTGTTCCATGGGAGAAAGATGTGGCAGTCTTCTTCTGTAGAGATTTTCAGCCTTTGAAAAGATGTGAAGCAGTTCTACTCTGTCTTGTAGAGTCAGTATGACTCAATGACTGTGGTTTGAATTTGGGGTCAATAGAGTTGAGTCTTAGTGAAACAAAGGCAGCTTAGAGTCTTGGATGCAAAGATGCTATCTCCTGAGGACAGAAATGAACACTTAGACGGATAGACCATTGTGTGTGTTCATTTCCCTGAGTGTCGTTACTGTAGTGACAAGCAAAATCTGCGTATGTTTTCATTCTTTTAAAGGGTAAGATATACTTACAGCCATTTCATCAGCAGAATCCACCAACTGGATTCAGTTATTGGAATCTATTTTTTTTTTTTAAATATGGAACGCTTCATGAATTTGCGTGTCATCCTTGCGCTGGAATCTATTTTTAAAGTTGATATTTCTTTTATAAATAAACAACCCATGCTCATTATTAGAAACAAAACCCACAGTTTGTTTTCTGCATCAAAGGTCCGTACTGGGTTGCTTAGGTGACAAATGAATTTAATCAAAGATAACTACTCAACACCTTGATCCCTCTGGTGGTTTTTATTACTATTTCTATCAAGTTTCTTTTCAGAAAAGAAACTGCAGGAATCACTGAAAGACACAATTGGAAAAAAAATATATTATCTATGGTAAATTAATCTGAGAATATTTAATTGTGCTCATGAAAAATCTTTATCTATACCCAAAAATCTGTTTTCCGAACAGAACAAGGGAACACAGTATGGCTAAAAATCAGGAAAGATGTGCATCAAGACTGTATCCTCTCTCCATACCTATTCAAATCTGTAGGCTGAACAAATTATTCTACAAGCTGAATTCTGTGAAGAAGAATGTGATATCAGGATCAAAGGAAGACTCGTAAAGAACCTGCATTATAGAGATGCTACAACCTTTCTTGCTGTAAATAAAGAGCCCTTGAAAATCTTGCTACTAAAAGATTACAGCCTTTGTTATGTAGTACATTTCAACACCAATAAAAAAAAATCCTCACAACTGGACCAACAAGGAGTATCATGTCAGATGGAGAAATGATTGAAGCTGAAAATAATTTCATCTTGGTTTCAATTGTTCTTCTGTTTTCTATTTCATTTATTTCTGCTCTAATTTTTACAATTTCAGTTTTTTTAGAGGGTGTCAGGTTTTCTTGCTGTTCTTTTTCAATTTGTTGGAAATGTTGTGTTAGAGAGGCAATTGGTAATTACATGTCAAATAAGGGACTTATATCTAGTATTTATAAAATAGTCGAGCACCACAACAAAATGAAGTTAACTCAATTGAAAAATGGGCGCAGGATATGAACAGACACTTTACCAAAGAATACATTCAGATGGTGAGCAAACACATGAAGAACTGCTCAAACAAAATGCCTAGCTCTAAGAGAGATGCAAATCAAAACAACTATGAGATATCTTCTCACTCCAGTCAGAATAGCAAAATTTAACAGAATAGCAAGCAACAAATGCTGGCAAGGTTGTGGAAAAACTAGAACCCTTATTCACTGTTGGTGAGAGTATAAAATGATGCAACCACTATGGAAGGCTGTATGGTGCTTTCTCAAAAAGTTGCAAATAGAAATACCATTTGACCCAGTAATTCCACTACTGGGAATATACCCCAAAGAGACCATAACTTACATGCAAGCAGATATACGCACACCCATATTTATTGCAGCTTTGTTCACAATAACAAAGAGTTAGAAACAATGCAAGTGTCCATCAACAAACAAATGGATAGAGAAGCTTGGGTATATTCACACAATCGAATGCTATGCTACATTAAAAAACAAGGAACTCATAAAATATTATACAAAATGAGTGACATTGGAGGACATTATGCTGAGTAAAAAATATCTCAGTCATAAAAGGATAAATATGACATAGTGCCACTATTGTAAAGCAGGACTGACATTGGGGTTGGGGAGAAACTAATAGGGGATTAATAATGTATACTGCATTGAAACAGATGAGGGGAAGAACTGTTTAGGAAGAATATATAGTTAGGTGTTTTTGTCATGATAAGAGTCCAGAATGAAAGCTACATAGTAAATTGTTGGGAGGGGGGTGTCATTGTGTAACAATGAATTTTATTTTTTTATTTTTTTACTTTTCAAAGAGAAAAGCAAACTTGGGGGGAAGGATGGGCAGGGAGGAAAGTGTGCAACAATGAATGAATAGAAACTAAAAAAAAGAATTTACAGAAGAATATATTTATTGGACATGAAGTTTAAAAAAGTATTTGATAGAATTTCAACTACTCCAAAGATGCTTACAGTATCTTTACTGCTATATTGACTGGCATTTTTTATGAGATTAATATTTGCTGAATTTTATTCAAAAATATGTTAAATAGTTTTAAAGTTTGGGGTTTTTTTTCTTCTTGTTAACTCCTTTATTACCTGTAATTGGAAGAATTCAAGGAATGCTTGGCAAGGTGCAGGATCAGAGAAAGTGGAAGACCCTCAGCAGGATGGAATGACACAGTGACTACAGCAAAGGGCTCGCGTGTGTGAGATGAGGAGTGTTTTGCACAGGATAGGACAAGGCTCAGGACTGTTTTCTGTAAGGTCACTATGAGTGGTACTCGACTCAAAAGCACCTAAAAACAACAACATAGCAAAGCAAAACCAAAAAAGTCTCATCCAGGTTCTCCGTGGTTGAAGCTTTACGAAAGAGAACATTTCTAAACAATGATTTTCAAGTATATTAGCAAATACATGGTTTTGAATTCCCAGAATCCTTAGAAGACTTATGAATTGTGAATATACAAAATAGAATCTAGAATCTTTCTATAATTTCAGGGGGCGGGGTGAAGAACTTCAGTTTAAAGACTAAGGTGAACCGGATTCTTCATGGTCTTTTCAATTGCTTCCTATGCATGAGAATATTGGACAATGACTATGGATGACACAAGAACCATTGCCTTTGAACTGTGGTGTTGGAGAAGTCGTGCAATCAGGATGCTCCCCAGAGGCAAGAATGGTGAAACTTTGTCTCACATGCTCTGGGAACGTTGTCAGGAAGCGCTAGTCCTTGGAAAGGGACATCATACTGGGAAAGGTGGAAGGTCAGAGAAAAAGAGGATGACCTTAAGAAGAACGGCTGACACAGTGACTGCAACCATCTGGTCAAACATTTCAGAGGTGGTGAGAATGACACAGGATACGGCAAAGGTTGGATCTGTTGTTCATAAGATCACTAGGAATCATGGTGGACTCAATGGCACCTAATGCAACAATAATATATAATGATTAATTGTTAGGAATGAAGTGGCAAGGAGCTTCAAAGGTTTTGTGTTGATCTGATTGAAATCCACTAGCTACTCCTTGAGAGAAAGATGGGTAGTCTTTCCATTAAGATTTTTTTTGGCCTTGTAAAGCTGATATCAACTGAATGACAGCAAGTATGAATTTTTTTTTTTTAAAAATGAGCTTTATAAGGAGCCAAGAGGTACAACATTTGAAGTACTCAGCTG